TAAATAAACTAAGAATTAAGAGACTAATCTTTAAGAAGAAAGATAAAGTTTTTCTATTATAATAAAACCTAAAAACTAAATAACTATATAGAAAATTAGATAATCTCTAAATAGAACTATTTAAAGTTCTAGAGATAATAGAAAAAGTAAACTATAAGTTAAAACTTCTATAAAGTATATAAATCTACTCTATCTTTTATAAGAAACTTCTAGAACTAGTACCTTTAGATACTAAGCTAGTAATAAATATAGAGCTTAAAGACAACAAGTATAAAGTTAAAGAAGTTAAGAACCTATAGAAAATTAGTAGTTAGTAGAAATACTTAGTTAAGTAGTAAGAATAGCTAGAGAGCTATAATACTTAGGAACTTAAAGAAAATCTAATAAACTATAAGTTACTAGTATGTAATTTTTACTAGAGATAACTAGAGAAATAAAAGTTAAACCTAGAGTAGAATAATTAGAATCCGCGGGGAAAGAAGAAAGAGAATAATTAAAAGAAGAATTAAAGAGATTAGCCTATAACTAGCCTAGATTAGCTAATAGTTTAAATAGTATTAGTTTAATAATAGGAAGGCCCGTACTCTTAGAGGCTAAGCTCCTCTTAGTCTACTCTTTTATATAATCTTAGATAGTAAGAATTACTAAATTATAATAAGTAAATATCCGCTTACGCTTCTTTACTTCTAAGAGCTCTAACTTTTATTAAGAAAGCTACGTCTTAAGATAAGTAACTACTAGCTCTCTCTCTTTATATTCCTTATAAACTTTTTCCTACTCTTCTTTAGAAATAAATAAACTATACTTAGCGCTAACTAAGATATACTTAGTATAACAGCTAGAAGATATTTTAATAAAGTAACGAAGCTTCTTCTTTTTATAGCGCTTATAATAAAAATTTATTTTAAAACTCTTTTTTTCTACTTGCGTAGCGCGAGCACGCTTCTATTTAGTTAAAGTTTAAGCATAAGAAGTATAGAGCTTTTAGACCTTAGGTATAGTTAGGAAGACTAGAGTTAAAAAGGAATAGTTATAATAATCTAGAGCCTACTAACCTTATATATATACGGCGCTATAAAGACGTAAGGGGCTAGAATAGAAAAACGAAGAACTAGAGTATTAGAATAATAGCTCTAAGGGGGGAGATAATATTATAAGTAATAAGAAAGATTCTCTTCTTAATAAGTAATAAGATAGTAGAAGGCCTATAGATATCTACGTTAGAAGGTAATAATTAACGCAGGGCGCTAATTACGTAATATAGTATCTTACTAAGATAGAATATCTAGAGATACTAGACTCTTAGGAGATGCTAGGATATCTAGAGATGC